TATATTCCATGTAATACGAAGCAGTAGTAGACATCATTAATTTTAAGGATACAAAGCAGTAATAGACATCAGTAATTTTAAGGTATATTCCGTTCTTGCGGCATCCTCTTCAACAGCTATGATTGATTGATTGATTGTTTGTTGTTTAACGTCCCTCTCGAGAATTTTTCACTCATATGGAGACGCCACCACTTGTCGGTGGAGAGCTGCAAATTTTGTCCTATACTCGGCACTTACGGCCATTGAGTAGTGAGGGATCTTTTTCGTGCCAGCACCTACTGCGACACGGGACCTCCGTTTATACGGTCTCATCCGAATGACCGGTCTCCACATCCCACAGTGGGATTCGAACCCGCGACGTAAGGATCAACTCCTTACTTCGCGACTCTAGAGCAGACGCTCTAACCACTGCGCCACGCGGGCGACTCAGCAGCTATGAAAATTGGTGTTTCCTTAACGAACATTTTGAAAACTAGAGACTAGCTGGTCATCGTCAAAGAATTTCAGAAAATTTTATTTCAGACATATTCAAGACAATGTTTCCAGTTATTCTATGAATAAACTGTGATTGATATAATGATTTTTTTTGAAATAAAGTCTTTGACTAAATCTATTGTCAGTTCTTTAACATACTATTGATACTCTGAATAGACTAATGTCTCATGCCAGGCTGTATGAAAAGAATGGGCCCCTAATCCAAGGATACCCTGAATGTGATGGAAGAGGGACATTCTTGGAGTACACCCCGAGGCCGAGGAATTTCTCACCCATGTAAGAATGCATGGATTAATATATCACTTAATTAATTTAAAATCACTTAAGACTATAAGAGATTTAAGCATGGTGGTTGGTATTTATACTTGGGACGTAAATTGGGTGTTTGTTTAAAACTAAAGTTTAAACTTATCTAGGGGAAGGATTGTCATATAGTAAATTTTACAAAATTAATTCAAAATGTTACACAATTTGATTTCATAAAAAGAATCATTTTAATTACTTACTTTTTGACATATGCTTAAAATTATCTATTTAACTATTTTAAAATGTTTAGACAGTAAAAAGGAAATTGTTACTCAATATTTATTTAAGGAATTAGTATCAATCCTTTGCCTCAAAGAGCGTCCGACTCGTATGTGTGATAATTGCGTAAATGTGTTAATTGAAGTTTGAGTGAATGTCGTATGTTGTGTGAGAGGGCCAGTGTTAGAACCGCCGTGGACTACCCCGGACGTGAATATTAGATGTACTGGACATTCCGGCATCAGGAAAACAAAGTTTTACTCGGGACTATTCCGAGTTTTAGAACCAAAAAACGTGTGTGTGTGTTTAGTTGTGTGAATTGAACTCTCCTTTGTTATATGTAATTTAAGGTGAATTATTTTTCGAAATACAAACGTTTACCTTTTATTACATAACTTTCATTAAAATAAATTTTCATCACAAGTTCACTTGTGTTAATAGCAAGCCCACACGTTATTAGTCAGGAAATATGACCTGACTTCCATAACGATTATCGAGGAATGTGTTTGTGTTTTATGTATAGAAAGACATAATTTTGGGAGCTAAATACTGCATACTCATTATTAATATATGTTAATTGTATCCATTGCCGAGAATTTCATCTTTCTTGTTTGAAATAAACTTTCGTTACAATTAATTCCCATAACGATTACCTGTAACCAGTATTGATTTTTTCTAGACATTAACATTATACCAGATATTAAAGTTATACTACATATTAACATTATACCAGGCATTAACATTAACAATTTACCAGACATTAACATTATACCAGACATTAACATTATACCAGACATTAACCCTTACAAAACCGTTTTGTTTGCTGCAGACTTGCAGCAAATTAGCCGCAAGCTTGCAGCTAACAATTTTATTTGCAGGAAGAAAAAGTTGGTATTCGCAGTTGTTCGCAGCTAGCTGCAAACTTCCTGCGAACATTGCAGCTTTTTGCTGCAAGCTTGCTGCAAACTAGCAGGAACTGTACTATTCGCAGGAATATTGCAAGAAACTTTATTAATGTAAAACATTATTTGCAGGAAGCTTGCAGGAATCTTAAGCTAGCTAAAATGCTTGCAGGAAGTTTGCAGGAATCTTTTAAGTTGGCTAAATGCTCGCAGGAAGTTTGCGGGAATCTTAAATTTACCTACAAGTGTTTGCAGGAAGGTTGCAGGAAGCTTAAACATTTAAAAGATGTTTGCAGGAAGTGTGCAGGAAACTTAAGTTTGCAAATTTGTATGCAGTAAGCTTGCAAGGGTCACCAGTTTATCTGTGATTATTCAAATAAAGCTTTCAGAAATTTTTATTTTAAACATTCATTCTGATGTATGATTTCCGAGCATGACAACTAACATAACTTATTACCAAAAAACAACAAAATTTATAATTTAAATTATTTCATTCATTCATATCTGAAAAATATGTGTACAGACTGAATGTTCAAAACAAACCTTCTTTAAAGTCATAAAATTTACAGATATATATTAAATGTTACATGTACAAGTATTCATCAGGGGGTTAGAAGCAAGATCAAAATGTCCTAATAGTAATGTTCAGCAGAGAAACTAAATTTAGTTTACACAGTTTTCAGAAATACATACATGTACATTAACTATTCAACAAAATGTAGATTACTGGTAGATCTTTATCAATATGTTACACAAACACAAAAGCAAAGACCCCGTCCTCCCCTCAAAATTAAATGTTTTATCAAATACTAATAACTTTTACCCTGCAAATAAAAGGAACATTTCAAATACAAATAGCATCAAGACAAATTAAAAGTATTATTTTCAGACAAAAAAAACTTTTGGACAAAGACATTTTCATTTGAATTATTTTTTTTAACCAGACGTTAATTTTCGATTTTGTCTATTATGGTTTAATCCGACTCGATAGTATTTGGAAAACTGCAGAGAAAGATCTTTTCATCAGGCAATTTCTCTGAAAAATTTAAATAAACCACAACATTCATTATTTTGGACACATTTACAATGTGAACATTATTTGTTGTCCTGGCCATTTGTATGTGTGGAATGTCTGCATTTAAAAAGTTGCTCTCAACAACTGGCTGTTTTGTACACTTCAACTCATTAATTACAGCTGTTAAATCCGACTTACAGAGACACAAGTCATCAAAGCATTCACATGACTTTGCTAAAATGTAATATTGAATTTGGCCATAATGCATTTCTTTGTCTGAGAGATCATAATAAGTTACTGTGTAGGAATTTCGCATCTGTACTCTAGTATAATCCAGTGAATGCACAATCCTTCCTCGGAGTGAAATTCGCTTGTATGACAACATTTTGGATGGCCTGAATTTGCACTCATTCATAATCTTGCTAAACATGTCATCTGTTAATACAACAATACTGCTCTTTCCAATAGGATATGATGCTGAAGAAGTTCCAATAACAGGTCCTATAGAACTGTGTTTGTGATGCAATTTGTTGGCAAAATCAAGCAGTCTTTCATCATCAAAATCTTTTATCATATTTGACATGTTTTGCAGAATGTTTAGACCACACATTATCTGCAGTTCAACATTCTGGGTCCCATGAAATAATTCCATCAGTGTGCCATTGATATTTTCGAAAGGAAAACATGAATATACCCAAAGAGGCCCTAAATCCATAACACATTGTGGCAGATGTAACAAAGAGTGCATATTTAGGGTTACATAACGTTCTCCATAGAGAGATGGAAACATGTGCACAAAATATGACAACAGTTGTTGACTTTTTTCTACGTCTTTGCATGATACACTGTCTGTACACAATAAAAATATGCCTTGAACAAAACAAGCAAAATGTAACAAATAAGCTCCAGGAAGAATATCGTGAAGTATTGGAAGTGAATAAAAGAATAACCAAGAACGCAGTTCTGAGGCTTTCCAGTATTTGAAGTGGTCAGACAAGGTTCTAGGAACACGCGTAATGATTGAAGGTGGTTTAATCATCAGAAGTCTTTGATCAATAACTTCAACATAGCTGGAAATGGAGAAATTCTCTTTACTGTTAGTGGTGCTGATCCATAATTTTGTAAGCAGTTTGGTAATGCCAAGAAGTACCCCATGCATGTAGTCAATAGATGTCGACTTCACAAAGTCATATGACATTAGAGTCATCAGAAATGATGGACCTTTTATTCCATTTATTGTTTTACGGTTTTCTGTTGCAAGAACAGCATCCCTAAGGCAATTTTCAGAGGTTCTCTTTTCATATTCTGGTAAAGAGGCATCATATGAAAATGTATGAACGCTTCCTCCCTTTTGAGTCTTGTATGTTTCTCCTGGATGTAGACATTTTAGGCAGCTAAACTGCCCATTAAATTGGTTGCAATTCAATACCAGACTTTTGGCTGGAAGATCTGCAGTTCCACAAATTAGAAATGCTTTGGTCAAGAGTCGTTCATTATCCACTTCATATTCAATTCCATTTGTTTCAAGCATTTTGAGTGACTTCATTAGTGGCTTTGTAAAAAGGCTCATGAAAGGTTTTGACTCTCCAAACCAAAGTCCACACAGGATCATGTTTTCTTTCATCATTCTTTGTCTATAAGGGAGTTCATTAATAATCAAGTAAAATGGCCACAAAGAAAACTTTGAACTCTTGAAAACTGGAATTCCATCTGTGTTCCAAGAAAAGGAAATATTATATGGATTTTCGGGTGACAGTGGACCTCCCAATTCTGATAATTTCTTGTATATTTTGCCATCATAGATATCTTCAATACCATCTACTTGTTTTTTCTTCCTTGAAAATTTAGACTGAATAGCTTTCAGTATCCCAGGTCCTTGCATAATTTTTTTCAGCTGTTCTTCCAAGGGTATTTCTATAAAATAGTCCTTGTTTTTGACACCGCTGAATGTTCTTCCACAGTTTTTGGATGGGCAGACTTTGTCATCTTCATTAATATTTGTCATACAATTCTTGCAAAAATAATGCTTTTTCAGTGGAGACTGCATGTCAGCAAAGTAGCTTTTAAACATGTATATGCTTTTCAATCCAGGGTGTGTATGTAGACAATGAAGACTGAGCCCCACTGATAGAGTGACAAATGGCATATAAAAGAATCAAAACCATGCTGTGGTGTATACTCATTGAGTGTCCAGGATAAATGATAGCCTCACTCTGAATCAAGTTACTTGTGTGGCTCTCCCCATTTTCCTGATCAGTAATCAACAGGTTATCTTCATTTTCCTCAATTATTTCATCTTCGTCACCAGGGATCAAATCCTCCAAAGAAAAATCATCTTCTACATCATTTTCTGTAGTTATTTGGTTCTCCATTATTTCACTTACAATTTCATGAAATGGTTTTTTGTTGGTTAAATTTGAAGAATCACCTTCTTGCTCTGAAACTTCAACGTTTGGTGGACAATTGTCTTCAGAAAAATCTGCTCCAGTAGCTTGGGTGTTCTGAGGTACCTTTTTGGGATTAGTTTTAGAGTATGTACTAGGTCTGACTCTCCCCATATTGTCAATCTTCCGTTGCTTTTGTGGTTGAGAGCTCTCTTAAAAAAGAAAGAAAACAAAATAAGACAAATTATATATAGTTTGTTGCATGAAATTTTAAATAAATAGAATTGTTCAAATTTCTGAACTAAATGTGTAACATTACAGTGGTACATATAGATTACAGAGGCTTATGATATGCATACCAACCATTATATATGAATCCTAATACAAGTTACTTATCATAAGGACTTATGTCGCTATGACGTGACCACGAATGGGATGTCGTTAGATGTTTGAGAAGCGGTAGGGGATTCGGAACATCTAATTTTAATTAGATTGTATGCATGAGAGACAAAAACTAAATATATAGGTATCTGTGTTGATCACCCTAACAGTTGCAACTTAGCATATTAGATGTATATAATTCAATTGCCTTTAAAATAATTAATTTTATTTTTTTACCTTCTCTTTCAATTTCCTTTGCCAAGTCTTGATCAAAATAAAACTCTGGGTTTCCATGCAAGCACCATCTTCAACAACGCAACCATTATCGTCTGTAAACCGAAAATTAAAACGTATGTTTATTTATATGTCAGCAGAGAAATTTATATGTCTTTGATGTCAGCTGCATGTAGAATACAGTCTAATAAAGGTGTATCAACTCACTCTACAAAGTGAAATATAGATGTGATGCATAAAATGTAATGCAAATTGTTTCTAGAGGTATTTATAGGTTCTTGCAGTGACAACATTTTTGCAAATAAGGAAATCAAAAGGGCTTGGTACAAAAATTCGTTAATTTTTCACAGTTATTAGTACAAAATACATAATTAAAGAATGTGTATTTATTAAGATACTTCTTTAAAATTTACCACATACCTTCATCTTCTACATTACAAATGTTTTCGTCTTTTTCTGGATCAAATATTTGCTTCGCTGCCATTTTCCTCCTGTGTTTTTCATTACCGGAAGTAAACAAGGGACTATTGCATTCTGGGTAATCCTTATTATAACGAAACGAAAAAATCATTTACCCCTCATCAACAAAACATTGGATTGCTTTTTTTTATATTTATATCAGTTTTTTTTTTTCATTTTATTTTTTTATATATAAAACGAAAATAAACCGAAATCTGTTTTTTTAATTACTTTGTGAATACTTTCGATTGGCTAAAAACTGTTCGTATCTCTTACATGCGAATATATTGACCAATCGTAGCTCTTGGCGCAATTCTTGACTCGAGTCGAGCCAAAACGTTCAGCTGCAACTCAAAGCACGTTATAAAAGTTCAGCGTATCTGCCACTGAGAATATGCCTATAGGAAGAAATGGTTGGAAGAAGAAAGGTTAAACCTCCTGGAAGATTTTTGGAGGGAGTTATTGGTATGTATACTTATATGATATGTTTAATTTTTTTATATTTAATTTTATAAAGCGTATTTTGGGGGTAGTTTACGTTATTATATCGTCAATATACTTTATATAGCGTTTACATCGTTAGTACAAAGCTGCAATTAACAAATATTGACAGATTTAAAGGTCAACTACTGAACTAGTGTGTCATCCGGTATAATATTATGCAGAGTATATAAAGTGGAGAAAATTGTATCGAATATATTTAAAAAGAAAAAGCTAAACATGACTGTGCGTCCTTTTATAATGATTAATATTAATTATTTTAAGGCATTGATTTAATTGACTATAATCACAATCTTTGCTAGTTTCTTCCCATCCCAATGTATTCTCTTGTTTAGTTTCAGTTTGTAATTTAACAATGGGTGGGTGGGGGTATACAGCCCCAGGCTGATTAAAATCAAACCTTCACTAGCTCCTTTTTATTTTGATTGTTGCAAGACAATCAAAATAAAAAGGAGCTAGGGAAGGTTTGATTTTAATCAGACTGATACAGCCCCTTTTGGGAATTTATTAAATTTCTACACTGAAAATGTACTGACTGGATCCACCTTGGCAATTAACATGGTAGATTAGAGTCCCATTTCTGGAGAAAAAATGACCTGAAGCTGAACACTTCTCATAAATAGGCACCATCACACAGGTATATAAACCTTTTGTTACACCAGATTGCACCCTTGAAAATCGTCGTCAACGTGTACCCGAAGCATTCCTTTCATGGTCTCGGATTTTTTTGCATTTATTCCTTAATTAATTCATGAGCATTTTCTGTTTGTAAATAATGCGTGGACAATTTCAAACCTTAGTCTGGTAACTTTACAATATATTGTAAATTTACTAAATATGCAACCTATAGTGTACATACTTGAAAGTACCCATGGAGAGATAGAACTACATATAGCAATTAATTAAGGGTTTATTGATGGAATAGAGCATACTAAAAGTGAGCATATATAGCATATATATATAACACCTGTCCATGGCAGGGTTTGACATTAACTTTTATAAGTACTTGACCAGTCGGGCTACTTCCCATATTTTTTAATAGCCCTGACCGTAAAATTGTTAGCCCTGACCAACATGCAAATTTAATTTTTATAATCACCAATTTGAATGATGTAATTTTATATATTTTTTATATATTGTGTTAAAATTCCATTAACACAATTAATTTAGGAATGACTCTAATTCTTGGCCAAATTATTCGAGTATAACCTGGTTTGGGTCAGTTTACGCTATATAATCCGCGAAGCGGATTATAAAACAGCGTAAACTGACCCAAACCAGGTTATACTCGAATAATTTGGCCAAGAATTAGAGTCATTCCTTATAATTTAATTTTAAAATCATTAAATAACTATGGGTGTAAAATTTCGTTGCTTTTTATTAGTTCAAATTTGCCGCTCAATAATACAACCATAGTAACGGAAGTGATGGGAAGCGAGGGGAGGTAAAAACTGATACATAGGCCTAGCAGCTTGTTTACATGTGGTAAGATCGAATTATTGTTTGAAGTTAAAGGTATATTTATTCAATCTGGAATTTTCCATGAATCCCGAGGACTGGAAATGAGAGGATTGTATGCATACAGATGATTCAGCTGGTTGTCAGGGGGGTGTGTCCCCATACCAAACCAGGTTATACAGAAATAATTTGTGTTCCTTTTTGGATATTAACCAATCAGAGGCTAGAATACAAACAAAATTAAATTATTCTGTAAGATTGTGCATCTTTCAATGAACTATGTACTATTTTTACCCAATGCTCGCTATTTGTTTACATCTGCCATGCTGCAAATCCTGACCCAATGGAAGCAGTGTTCAATATAATTTGTAGAAAAAGGTAAAGCCACAAAGACGAAATTAGAGTTAGTGTCTTTCACAAATATTAGCAGGTCACAAATGAAGCTCATAAACGAGATAAAGATAATCTTGTTCTATCTATTGAAACATTGTTTTTAGTTCCCAATCGCCATACAATCTGCTTAAAATTGTATTTGTATTGATACATGTACAAATTTAAATTTGTGGTTTCAGTGTGGTATGTTGTACAATTTACGTTGGATAAGGAGCTCAGTGATCCAATATCTGCTGAAGATGTAGAAGATGATGATGGCAAGACGGCATTAGACAGGACTTTTGATGTTGGGGATTCCTGTTCAGGGATGTGGAGGGATGGGAATTCATATGAGGGGAAAATTGTGTTTGCATCAGGTATTCTATATTAAAATGATATTGTGGGGGGAAAAAAGTAATAAAAGAAATAATAAAATGGGAATGAAAATAAATGTTGGGATTCACAGTGAAACAGTTTGCACAATTCAGGATTAAATAGTTTTCACTGAATTTGAATTTTGTTTATATACATATATTACATATGCTGTGTTTTTCTAGTAGGGCAGCTGTGAAATTGATTTGAATACCGTTTTCGTTTATACTCAGGCTTAGAAATGTACATGGAGAAACTCGTGCTAATATGACGGCACAATAAGGCTACAAAGATGTTAATAAAAATGTAGCAATATAGGGCAGTGAAAAGCTACGTAGCACACTTCATGAAATATGCCTATGTGACAAGTCTGTGTGATTAACACACCAATAGCTCACACAAAACTTAAGAACATTTCTTAAATGTACGTTTATTTTGACAACAAATTGGAAGAAGTTAGATTGTGTATTTTCTTATTTCTCATTTTATTCTGAAACCTCAAAAATCAACCTTTTTGTTTGTGGGAAAAAGCAATTTAAGATGAAAATGAAATTTTAAAAATAAAAATATATGTTAATGGTTTTATTTCTGCTAATATTTCATCAGGAAACAATTCCTGACTTACTTGGTGAATGTTTGAATGTTTATTCCTATTAAACAACTATCATATAGTGTGCATTCCTTTTTTTCAGATGATAAAGAAAAATGCTCAAAATATGTGAAAGATAAAAGGAAAACGAACAAAGGGAAGAGGAAATCAGAAAGTGAACTAGTAAAACAAAAAAAGGTAACAATTCAATTGTATTATTAAATACACAATGCCGTTTCTCCAAGCTGGAGAAAAGGATCACTTAATGCCCTCCTAGGAAAATTCAAATATATGTAACTATATATCCAAGCTTCATAAACTATCAGGGACCGACGTTGACCCAAAATTTAGGAGACTTCTCCCTTGGAAAAATTTAGAGAGAAGTTATCGGTCTAACTGATAGACTTCATTGGTTTATCAAAGTAATTTCATTTCTTGCATATAGTATGCACCTTTGATGTTTAATAATAAAATTCACTTTTCTGTTTTCATCTTTCCATATTTTCAGGGCCTTGGCAAAGATATAGTTTTATTACAATCTCTTGAAAGCTCTTTTTCAATAATAAATTCATATTAAAAAATAAACACACACACACATAAACAAAATAAGAACTGCATGGTTATCCTATGTGTACTGTTGTATAATAACTTAACATAATGGTGGACTTTTTCATATACACATGTATATATCTATAAATTTAGATTGCTAGTTTGATTTATCTGATTCTCATGTAATAAAAGAGAAGTAAAAAGAGATATTGTTTTCAGAAAATGCAGAAAAAAAGAAAAAAGAAGAAAAGCAAAGAGTGGAGACAGCTATTAAAGATGCAGAGGAAATTTTTAAGCAATGCATGCCAACTTCAAACAATGTAGGTAATAACACCGTAGCGACTGTAACTAATCAATGCTTAGCTGTCTCAAACCCTTCTGCACCTCCCTCTGCACTTCCCGTTTCTCTCCCGCCTGTCTCAAACCCTTATGCACCACCCACTGCACTTCCTGTTTCTCTCCCGCCTGTCTCAAACCCTTATGCACCACCCACTGCACTTCCTGTTACTTCTCCCCTTGGCTCAAACCCTTATGCACCACCCACTGCACTTCCTGTTTCTCTCCCACCTGTCTCAAACCCTTATGCACCACCTACTGCACTTCCTGTTACTTCTCCCCTTGGCTCACACCATTATGCACCACCCACTGCACTTCCTATTTCTTCCCCACCTGGCTCAAACCCTTACATACCACTCTCTGCACTTCCTGCTTTTTCCCCACCTGGCTCAATCTCTTACACACCACCCTCTGCACTACCTGCTTTTTCCCCACCTGTCTCAATCTCTTACACACCACCCTCTGCACTACCTGCTTTTTCCCCACCTGTCTCAATCCCTTACACACCACCCTCTGCACTTCCTGCTTTTTCCCTACCTGTCTCAATCCCTTACACACCACCCTCTTCATCACTTTCAGCTAACTTTGATAATCATTCCACTTTAACTCCTTTAGATCAACGACCACAATCTCCTGTATCAAACCCCTTAACAAACTTTACCTCGTTAACAAATTCAGAATTTCCTCAATCCAATGCAATGAACGATCCATGTGAAACCTGTATTGTGAAAGATCAAAAATATGAGAATCTTCAAATGTACACTGATCAGGTAGAAAGGGATCTTGAATACTGGAGAGGAGAAGCGACCAGATTAAAAGACGAACTAGGTTCTTTTTTTTATTTATTTACCTTACATTTAATTATTTTTATCATTGAAATCCTACCCCCAAAATAATTTTTTTATTTATATACATGTATGTTCATTTGTATAATTTAAAAATGTAATCTTTGAAAACTTTAAACTTTTTATGCATGAATAAACCATATACACGTTTAATAAAAGTTCTAGTGTCTTTGTTTTAAGTTAGAATGCTTCATAGTTTTAGAATCCCGGAAACAAGACGATGAATCATGTGCAAACAATGTAGCCTTATTCTCGAGTGAGGACCACTACATGCCCAAAAGAGGCATCAAGATAAACAAATGTCATTATGTAAGTGTGCTTGCTTCTCTGTGTTAAGTTCATACACGCTTGATAAGGCTTTCTTATATGTTCATTGCCTTTTCCTGATCTAATGAAAATTCTTGAAAAGTTGATTTTTAAATTCAGAGGTGGGGGGGGGGGGGTTCTATCCTGAGTCAGGAGAGGCCAAACATTGTTCTAAATTTAGCCAAATTTGGTAAGTTTACTAAATGAATACTAATTTCCGTAATAATGCTGCTGGGTCTAACATAAACAAAGTTTGTGCAAAAGCAAAATTTATTTAAAATTCAGGTGAAGAAATCAATGTATAATGAAAAGTTTTCACTCTCCAGGGTTCTTTATATAGTTAATTTTTTCCCAATTGTAGAAAATCCTTGAAAATGACACCCCAGTACCAACAGGATACACAGAACTGGTTGAGGGACAACCCCTCCTGGTGCCTGTCCCCTGGTTACACGACATACAGGGGACTTTTAAAGGGAAGACAAAGTCATGCGCTTTTAAATTGATGCTGAATGGGTTTTTTCAACCACAGGACGTGGTTGGAAAAACAGGATGCGCTTTGGCGGATTCTGTTGTAGGAAAAGCCCTGAAAGGTAAAATAATTTTTCTAAATTATACCCCCCTTCAAAGAAGGGAGGGCATATTGGTTTGCTCTGTCGGTCCACCAAGTTTTCGTTCATTTTCTTTGGAGAGGTTGCAAATACTGCAATGAAATTTGGCATACAGATTAATCATAAGAATATCTATGTCAAGTTGTGTTTTAGGTACGATCGAGCCATTTTTGCCAGAATTATGCCCACTGGACTTTAGAAAAATTCCAATTATTTTTTTTTTTTGGGGGGAGGGGAGGGGGCATAAGTGTTTCACAAACATCTCTTGTTTGTTCAAATTTAGAGTTAGCAGAATGCATAAATGAAAATTTCAAGTTAATTTTAATTTGCATTAGATACAGTTGGGCTAGAAATATTTCTTCCACTGGTCACTTGGGTTATCACCTCAAATTTTTACTGGTCAAACTCACTGTCCCACTGGGCCAGTAGATTTTAAAAAGACTGGTTAAAAATCATAATAATAAAAGTAATTCTGATACTTAAAAGTACAACTTAATAAACAAGAAATGACAAGTTAGACACTTGACCCTGTCAAGTTAACCAGCTTGACAGTGAAGAATTTTGTAACGCATAAAAAATACTGACTCAAAGGGCCCATGTTCTCTGCAATGCACTAACCCAGTTCAAAAATTCACTGGTCCCGGACCAGCAGGCCATCAATTATTTCTAGTCCTGTACAGAGGATCAATATGAAATTATATTTGCTTATTTTTCTGTCTACTTTCATTTTGTTCATAGCAACTGTACAGTGTATATTTATGTACATGTTTCTTATGTCTTTCTTTTAATTGAATGGAAATAATTCTTTGCTTTTTTGTGTTTTAGCTTATGCCTTAAAGACATTTGGGCTTAACAGCAGAGCCGTAATAACTGCTCTTAATGAAAAAATTGGAACAATGGTTCGAGCCCATAAGAGAAATTCCAAAACACCCGAGTGAGCTGGCAAAAAAAAGAAAAGATTGAAAAAATGTTGAACTGAAACCATGAACAGTGTTCTTAAGTAGTTTCTTTTTTGTTATATACTTAAAACATCTATTGTAAATATTTGCTCCAACTTCAGCCATTAGACCTGCTCTTGTTTAGTTTTTTTTCCAGAGGTACAAACTGAGTAAATAGAACAACTTTTTTGTTATTTGTGAAAATGTATTCAACTAATGTTTTTTTATTCATTACATGAGTTAATTAATCACTGTTTCATCATTTTATCTAAGTTAAAATTCAAATTCCAGTGTTGTGAAGGTTGTTCTTGAAAATAATTGAATTAAATTTTGGGAGGGGGTGGAAATCCAACTAGTGAGAAATCCAATTAATTTTTTTCCACAAATGTGATAACATATTTTCCTAGTCATGGTTGTGCTTTTAATTTTCATTTATTTTGATAATTTCTGTATTTTGGATTTTACATTTTATATACTGTTGACAATATATATGCTTAACCAGTGTGCATTTTTCTATATATTTTTAAATTAATTGTTGCAAACTACTTTTTTAGGGCTTTTGCAAAATTTGCATAATACATGTATTGCTGACAATTATTAGGGAAAAAATTATAGATATTTTTTTTTTACTTACATTTTTCATATAACTTTTTTTTTCTAGTCATTGTTACTTTAAAAGGTTTTATTTTTTGTTTCTTTTACTATTTGTAACTATTGTACTTTGTTTTATGCTTCAAAGACATACTTGCTAAATTGTTTTGAAGTTTTGTAGGTATGTGTGAGGTTGTTTTTTTTTTTTACAGTCTTTTTTTATATATGAATTATTGTTTTAAAAGTTCTTTTCTTTTAAATAATGGGACTTTTAATATTGGTTTTTCCTTTATATGTTAAAAAATAACTATTAGTTAATTTTTCTAGAATGTAAATAAATACTACTTTTGATGAAATATTTTCTGTTGTTAAATTGGTAGCATAATATAATTAATAGTTTAATTATACAGCATTTGCAGCAAGAAGCAAATTAACAGCAATGTTCGCAGCAAGGTTAGCCGCAAGTTTGCGGCAATGTTTGCAGCTGGCCTCTCTATATGGGCATTGGATTGTTAGCTGCAAACTTGCCGCAAACTTCATTTGCATGGTAAAATCATTGCTGCAAGCTTGCAGCTAATATGCCGCAAACTTGCGGCAATGAATCCTTCTTATAGAGAGATTTTTGATACTTGCGGTTAGTTTGCAGCAATGTTTGCTGCTAACTTGCAGCAATGTTTGCTGCAAACTTGCGGAAAGTATTAGCAGCAGGCTTGTTTTTTCGGTAAGGGAACATTACACCAGATTCGTGCCTGATTTAAAGTCATGTTCTACCATTCGATACACACCATGAGATAATGAAAATACGTCAATTTCAAGTTAATTTCTCGTTTTAACGAGATAATAAGTCGTTTTCACGAGATATCAAGTCGTTTTCACAAGATAATATGTCGTTTTCACGAGATAATTTCTCTTTTTAACAAGATAACATGTCGTTTCCAAGGAGCAAATATCTCAATTTCACGAGATTTCTCGTTTTCACGAGATAATATGTTATCAGGAGAGAATATGTCGATTTCACGAGATAATACGTCTTTTTCATGAGATAATTTCTCGTTTTCCCGAGATATTATCTCGTTTTCAGGAGATGATATGTCGTTTCCACAAGATAATATTTCGTTTTCACGAGATAATAAATCGTTTTCAGGAGATAATGTCTCGTTTTTACGACATAATATCTAGTTTTTACGAGATAATATCTCGTGAAAACGAGAAAATAAGTCGTTTTCATGAGATATCTCGTTTTCATGAGATATCTCGTTTTCACGAGATAAATTTTTCCTGGTATTTAAAAAATAATAATTACGTGTCCTAAATGTACTACCGTATCATTACACGTAGTCACATAAAAGGATCTATTTTTTGCATACTGGTCAATTTAAAACAGCAGGACAAGGGTAATATTAAGAATTAAGCATAAACATATATAAATTAGAAATTGGAGCCAACAATCAGCATTGACTCCAGCGAGCATAACTAACACAGATCACCTACACTGTAAAAAGTAGTGTTCAATTTTAACATGTTCATGTGTTATTTGATCCACGGCAGTGTTAAAACTTGAACGCATCATGTATTAAAGGTGTAAAATCTTAAACGCATAGTGCATTTAAGTATTCCATGTACTCTGCTTTAACATATATGTGTTAATAGCTTCTTCAGTCTTCTTGCAAGTTTATTCAATTAATATTACTAGTTTTCTTTTTAACTTTGATTTTATGAATATAAATTTCTAGCTTGTGTAAAAATTCTGTAACTCCCCCGACTGATATATTTTCTAAACAGATATCAATACCTTAGTATACAAATATGTGTATATAATTTTAGGTGTATATATCAATTTATATGCATTACATGTACACTGACATGATTAATAATATTCATTATTTGTTTGTCAACAATATCATTAAGAATCCTTGAATTGTTTTTGTTGAAAAAAACCCCACTTAAATGCAAGTAACTATATTGTTAAATAACACCAGTGTTAAAATTAGAAATTATTTCATTAACACATTAAGTGTATTATCTTCGTGCCTGGCCTCTCTCTAGTTGACCTATACATGTAACCTTTTGCCGCCGCATCAGTAATTTCTTTGTTTCAAAGAAAGCGGTCAGCAGAAAATTTAAAGAAAGGATTGCCAACTTCGGTGTGTTCTTGTGTGAAAGGGTAAATTGATTTTTGAGTAATTTTTACACAAACTGTAATAAAAATATTATCTCAATAACATTTTAAATATATAATTATTTTTTTCAAAACTGTTATCATAAGCACTTGAATTATGCATTCTTTGGTCGGTTGAGTCAAGTAAACAAAGAGTAGATATTGTACTAATTTGTAAACGTTTTCAAAAACTCTAGCTCATTCTTTTGATTTTTAATAGGTTATTTTATGATATTTAGCACACTTACAAACTTAAAAGTATTTGCTTATGCATTTCCATCATTTATTTAGATCGAATGCCCAGTCAATAGAAAACCTACCATCAAAACATCTCAAAGGATCTCGAGTCTGAAGAGGAATATCCCCCTTTAAGTGATGAAGAAATTGTTGTGATATACGTCGTTGGAGTCGGATGTAAAATATTAGAAACTATGAATGCACTGGACTACCCAGTAATTTACGGACAGGTTTTGGGTATTTTGCAACTCTGGGTGCATGGTCGGTGATATTTTTACACAAAACAAAACTACAAACTGGAACAATTTAGTGAGCAATTTGGACATGTATATGTTAAAAAATAAAATTATTCTCGTAAAATGTGTATTTATCTTTGTTTTTCCCAACAGGACAACAGACAAAAGGAAAATAATGAGGATTTTATTTTTCAAAAAATGTGTTAACTGGTTAACATCAGCTTTGGAATTAACACGTTAAAGTGTGAATTAAGTGTTTCCAGGGGTTTTAACGTGTAATGTGTTAATTTTATGAAACATTTCTACATGTTAATAGATCAACACACACGTTAGTGTATTTACACTTTAACGTGTGAATTAAGTGTTTCCAGAAAAGTGTTAATAATTGTGTTAAATTATTTACACTTCTTTTTACAGTGTATTGTATCATCGAGACAGGTCCATGTGATTTAAGTTTCCGCATATCAGTAGTTGTTGGTACAAAGAAAATCTCTTACTGCTCAAGGGCCACTATGTGTTAAGTCCGGGACTAAATGTACAGCTCCCAATCGAAAAGTGATGGAGTCCCAGCATGAGTAAATAAATTTAAAGGGTAACGTAAGCAAACAAACAAACAAAAATACTGAAGATGAATGACCTTTTTATTTTTCTAAAATTTAAATCTCTCTCTCTCTCCCTCTATTTGTGTGTATGGATCTACTATATAAAAACGTCGACGAAATCAGATAGCCTGTTTTGTTTAATCCCTCTCTGAATTGCAGATAAAGTTCGTTAACTAGGACGTATAAAAATCTTATCATAACAACTGACTGCTGAGCACTCTGTCGATTAAGCACGTACATTTACATACAATAATACAAAAATTAAAACATGGAATTGCTTAGAATACGTATGGATTTTCCATATTCTAATTTTAGATATGAAAAAAACACACATTGTGTTTGCGTACCAATTTAAAACATTATCTCCATATTTTTTTCATTTAGTTAATATATGTAATACTAGATTTGAAAAAAAAATATTTAGAAGTTCAAGTATTAAAAATTGTCTTTCTTTAATGCTTTCGATTTTAGTTCGTGCAAGATTTTAAGCTGCTGGTTTTTAATTATAAAAATGTCTTAAATCAGAAATATTTTTAACGCTCTTCAGATGAAAAACACAAAGCTATGAGACATTATTTCTTCCTCTCAAGCTCACGGATTCTCTGTAACATTTACATGAAGTACCTGACAAAGTAAACTTCATTCGTAAAACATAGACACAAATAGACAATTAAATTTAATTGATGCATCGATTGACAGGTTTCGTGTCGTAAACAGTTTACTATTGAAAAATCTTCCTAAGTAGATGAAATATTACCCATCACCTTATGGTGCGGTTGGATGCACATTTATCATAGATATTTAACTGATCAATGCATACAACGACTTACAATTGATGTCCTTTTTCTTTGAACATAAAGGACCTTCTCTTTTTTTATTTTCAGTCACTGACTATTTGAATGTCGTTGCAATTTTTAGAACAAAAATTAAAATAAGATTCATTTGTATTATGAGCCTTCTTTTGTCAAAACACCTGTGTTCCCCAGCAAATCGTCCAGATAAAAGCACAGATGTCTGCATTAGTTTGAAACTTTCTAAGGGAATAAGCATAATACAAGTTAGAACGAAACCTTATTGAAACCTGTTGGTGGAATAAGACATCGCAAACACATTGCAACCAACAAACAAAATGGTATTTTTAGTTTTTAATCAACCTTGTCCCTGATAGAAAAAAAATATCATTTCATTTGACTCGCCCGTCAGTCAATCAGTGAGTCAGTCCTCAGTCCTGTTTTTTTTTTTTTTTGGTCAAAAACATTATACTACTTGCAACTTGTTGCGTGGGGAATAATTATCTTTTCGATGCAGAACGACACACTGTGTCCTAAATATCTGCAAAGTTTGCCGAAATTCTGTGTAGCGGTTTAGAGGAGTTGCGCTGACAAAAAAAAAAAAACAGGATTGACGGACTGACGAACGGACGGATCAAAAACATTATACCTCACGCAACTTGTTGCGTAGGGTATAATTATCTCTTCTAGTTAACTGAAAGATGACTGCATGAATATGTTTCATCTCCCCCCCCCCCCCCCCAAGTTTTCTGTTTTATTCGCTCATGTTTTTATTAGTTATTGTAACTTTTCGCCCGTAACCTCAAGTAAGCTATACGCATTTATGGCTAGATATTATATGTATATAGCAAGATTAAGCGATTTTGTTAAATTGTGTTTTTTTATTTAAATATTTATGTTGTAGTAAATCCGACGCCGACAGACAAGCCAACAAGCCTCCCCTTCCATCAATCCAAGCTAGGCAACGCTTTTTCCTGTTTGTACCGAGAACTTCTGTACTATCACGTCCATGTTTTTTTTTTTTTTTTTTACACCTGTGTACTATAATTGTCAGTTATTCATCCGGTATTAATTCTGACCTTATACCTACATGTAAATTCTTGGTCTACAGTTTCTCTGTTAAGGCAGATACATTTTTGTGCCTGTTTGTACTCAATACTGGATTCTTAATCTTACGATCACCTACTGTGACACGGTCTCATCTAATTTCCCTGTCTCCACGTCCAACACACCCTCGAAGGATCATGCGCGGATCTAGGGGGGGGGGGGGGGGAGTTACTACAAGTATATACTGAAGCAAATAAAAAATGACTTTGGACCCCTCCCCCTAGAAAACGTGGACCCCACAATCACCACAACGAAATAGGTGTTTTTTATGTATTAGAAATGGATTTTTTTTTGCTCTTGTCAAGAAATTTTTGGGTTGGAATTTTTTTTTGAATGAGTTGGACCCCCCCCCCCCACCCCGTGGAAAAAAATCCTGGATCCGCGCCTGAGGATCAACTCTTCACTCCAGACTTTCACTCTTACCTCTGATGTCAAGTTCCCATAAACATTGATATGTTACAATGTCAGAAGTGCACGGTGTAGAATAAATGTTGGTGTAATGTAAACTTATCACTATTACTACAAATCTGAATAGTTACAGCCGTCATCATCTTAATATTTACATGTAATTTGTACAAAGACATTGAGAATGTACGTATGTATCCGATCCTGTAATAGTATTTCATTATTTGGGGACGACCATTTGATTTTGATAAAGGATGGGGGTCCAAATTTTAGAAATAGTCTGTTCTCGAAAATGTTGAAAATGTTGTAATGACATTTATTACACAAAACAAGACAGTTAACAAATACACAAATATACACAGATAACGAGCGCACACAGCAGCAAGTTATTATGTATGTGAGGCGCACACAGCAGCCCCAGACCGCACACAGCAGGTCGAAATAGTTCACAGTGGTTACCCGTAGGTTCTTCTTCTTCTAATACACAAAAAGGCGTGACGTCATACGCACACATACACATAAGAGGTTCAACACGGGAGTACATACACGGGCTCAGCACAGGATACATATAACGAATTGTACTTCTGTCCTCAACTAGCAAGAAAATAGTTCTTGACTGGTACTACCGTCCCCCATCCATAATCCTCTCCTGAAGTAGTATTTCGTGTTTTTTTTTCTTGTTTGCTAAACAGACTCGTTTAATGAAGAAGAATATATAATTATATACTGCCCTTGATCATCTTGAAACTAATAATCGTTCCTTGATGGCATAAAAAAAAATCTGACTCAAAAAAAAAATTCCTCCACCAGAATTATATGCCCGTTTTATTTAGTCCATTTTACCAGTGTACCAAATTAATGTCGATAGAGCAAAGGTTGAAATTCTAAATATACATAACTGAAAATATCTTCCAACGTCTAAAGTTGTTTGACCTCTGACCTTTATGACTGCAAAATCAATAAGGGTCAACTACTCCCTAGAAGGAACCAGTTAACCAAATTTGTTGTCGGTCAGGCCGGGGTTCTCAAGATATTGAGCTGACAACACGGTCTATTGACCAATCTACGTACCGACCAACCACTAAACTGACTAATATGCCCTCTTTTCAAGGGGGCATAACAATCAAAACAAATTCGCAAAGGCTTTTTTTTATGAGTCATACACATGTGAAATAAGAAAACCATACATTCACCTATTTAAGAGTTTTTACTATTTTTTGACAGACTAAAAGGAAGGTTTTTGCTAAAGCGGGGAACTAAATCCAATAACTCTCCATTAGAGAGTTATTGACCGGACATGAATAATATACGTTCTCTGACAGTCACTATTTATTATTGGAATGACTTTCAATCAAACTGCAAAACTCTAGTTTTGCAATCTAAATTTTGCATTAGTTGTTTCTCAGGCTTCCATTTTGTAGACATGTACACCCAATAATGATCATTTCACATACTTCAGTATTGATTGCTGTTCTATCGGACTCTATGGTTAATCAAGCAAAAACACCTTCTTCAAATTATTTTATCTTTTGATCAATTACTGTCAAAAATATTTGATTTCTATATGCTCAGCGATTTCAGTTCAGCTGAAGACATTTAAATTCAGTGAGGGATATTTAAACTACCGGCACGTTGCTTGATAGATCAATATCAAATTACTACAGGAAAGATCAAGTCATTGTAGAATCATAACGGAGGATAAAAAGCGTTCCTATACATGAACCTACTTGTAACAAGTACCGAAGGACAAGGAAGGAATACAGTGTAAAAATGGTTTCCACTATGTGTCACTCGATGGAACTTACATATCTGTTCTTTGGCTTATAAATTGATTTCTGTCTTACGATGGCGAATACGTCCAGACAGTATTCGCCGACTTCAGACACGGTGAATGGGTGTCGTGTACTGCAAATGTTATATGAACCATGTTCAGACCTATTTAGGGATTTGCTGCGGCGTTATGTTCCGCCGAATTCTATCACAGGAAAATTGCAACAAGAGAAGAAAAAAAGGAAATCCTTCCTTTATAAAACAAATCTAGTGCCTACAGCACAACTTGTCAAACTATCTAGTGGTTACAATGGAAATTATGATGAGTTTGATGTCGCATTTATTTACATTTTATTACGGAATCTTGCAAATATACCCTCACATGTTAACGGCTGGGGGGAAACACCTGATCCAAATGACAGATCCGTCGCTGCAAACATAGAACGCATAAGGATTTTAAGAAACGAGTTTTGTCACAAGTCATCCCTTTCTCTATCCGATTCAGATTTTACAAATGTTTGGAGTAAATTTAAACAAGCAGTTCGAGAGTTAGACATGCATCTTTCCAATGGAGGTGTATATGAGAAGGCTCTTAATGACCTTGAACACAAATCAATGGATCCGACAGAGACGACCTTCTGGCAAAAGACAATGAAAAGGAGACTTGAGGAAGAAATTCAATGCAAAAGAGATATAAAGAAACTGAAAAGTAAGTTGTACTTAAACTACGAACTACCTGACAGAAATAATAATAATAAGGTTACAATTAAAAGAAAGGTAGAATAAATTTCATTTAAAACATGATTGTGACGTAAACCTTTTGTTTGTGTTGTCCATTCTATAGCGTAATGTTGAGCTAACTCCTCAAACAATCCATTAAGTCACCTGTAAGTGTCCATTCTTTTTGAAAAACTGTCCATTCTTTTAAGAATGGACAGTTTTTTCAAAAAGAATGGACAGTTAAAACAAACAGAATGGAGAGTTACAGGTAAACTTTGGAATGTGTTCAAGAGGAAAACAAAAACAAATACATTAAATACTTTTTAATTTACATAACAAAAAGAACGCGGAGATTAAAGTTAATCCAGAACACAATGTCTGCACAGCATCCACTCGATTTTACTCTTTTAAATCCATGAATGATGCACATTATTTCAATACCCAAAACTTGATTTTCACAAAACTTGAATTCAAATGACACAAATTCACATTTGATTTAAATTTCGGAAAAATCATTCCCTCGAGGAGAATTCATTTTCAGATAGAAATACGTCTAATATTAAATCCTCCACCCAGAAAACAGTTTGCAACATGAACACTACACTGCCGCAGTTAATATTTCGGTAGAAAATAAATAAAAATGAAACATTTCCAGATTTCATTTGAAAAACATTTCAGGTAGAAGATTAGCTCATGGCTAATCCAACACTCAGAACATAATTTGCATCTCACCAATACACTGCTGCAGTTAATATATCCTCAAAAATAGAATTCAATTAAAACATTTCCAGGTTTGATTTGAATTTGATCATCTGTATATGTCGTCGAAGTTCATTTTTGGGTCAAAATTTGGCTAATATTTCTTTTACTTTTCTGTTTCCTGATCCAAATATCACTAATTTTGTGCATATTTAGGTTTATAAGATTTTGATTCTGTCATAAACTCTCTCCATCACAGAAAAACATGTATGCCTTTACAACGCAAACTGTAAACTGATTCTGAAGTATCACATACTTGTATAAATACTAGTATCCCACAAAATCCACCTGTAACTGTCCATTCTTAAGACAAAGACCTTTTGTTATTTGCATCTGGAAACACAATAGCTATTCAACAAATTGCTCTGCATCCCTAGTTTACCTGTGACTGTCCATTCCGCAAACAATGAACTTGTCCTTGTATGTGTGCTACCTGTCATTTTGTACATTTTTTATTTAATTTTCAGAACAAAGGAAATCATGTTTTAAGTAGGAGAAAGGCCTCAAACTGACCATTCTGTGAGAGAAAGAACTAATCTCGGGCCTACGGTCCTCGATTAGTTCTTTCTCTCACAGAATGGACAGTTTTCGGCCTTTCTCCTTTACATAAAAACACGTTGTTGTTTTTTTTTTTACAACGAAATATTTTTTTATCTTAATTGCTAAGAGCAGTAATTTGCATTTACGGATATACATGTATATGTCAAATAATACAAAAAAACATTGTTGTGTTAGATGATTAATAATTGATTGATTGTATGTTGTTTAAAGTCCCATTCTAGAATTTTTCACTGAGTCTAAGGCGTACTATAGTAGCAAACAAAACTGTTGTTGTAATATTAACTAATCAGAAATATGGTAATCTTGAATGGTAACGTAGATTCGCACTTTATATGTACTTTGTAATCTTTAACAAATTTCTATCATACACGATATAATTTTTTAAATATTGGATAACCATGTATAAACAAACTTAACAACATAAAAATTTTGCACAGTCTCGAAAATCTGATAATATTGGCACTTTATTCAGTTTTTGTTTAGTCATGTCTTTAGTAACTGCATTCTTTGCCCGTTCTGATCGTTTAAGGTACTGTAGCTTAGTCGTTGATAGGAAGGTCGTGAATAACATAGGTTACAACTGTTCCTTTGCTAAGCGCTCGGCATTAGAAGTGAGAAACACTGGTCTTTCGGGTGAGACCTTAGAAACCAAAGGTTTACATTGCACGTGAGGTGTAAAGAACTATGCACGCTAACTCTCGATCCCCGCCTAATTTTAAACCCATTTAATTCAATACAAATCGCAATTTGGTCGTAAAATCTTTGTTGAATGCAAAAAAACCAGTTCAATGGTAATTGACTGATAATTTTAATTCCAGTTTTAATTACCCCTAATTCTAGCTCTTTAAAAAAGGGGGGTAGACGATATTTTTCATTGAAATCGGGTTTTAAAGCATCACCACATTTTAAAATATTATGAATAAATGTTCCTTAAATCTTTTCTTATGTTTTACTCATATAAATAAAATATATATTATTAAAAAAATACAGTGTTTTAGTTGTAAACCCCTTTGAAATTGTTGAAAAAATAAGCGTACTGGTGAAATGATAGTCCATATTACCTGTAAAAAGGAATTTTTGTTTCACGGGGGGGGGGGGGATGTTTTAAAAACATTTTCCGTTTTCCGTTGATTTCTATAGTGAAAAACACAAGTTTTACCAAAATTATAGAGTTATCTCTCTTTGTTTTCCCTAAGAAGTAATGTTTTATGAAAATTCATATAAATATCTATATAGATATGAAAAATCATTCAAATGTGTTAACTTTGGAAAATTGACTTGGAGGTAGGCGGGAGAACAATACTATCGTTCGCAACGTCAAAGCGAGAAAAGGAAAACACACTGCCACATCTTTTCATATTTTACTGACTATAGACTATGAAGGCGAATTAACAATTAAATTGTATGAAAAACGAGATGACTTCAGCTTTTTCATCGTCAACTATTCTTATTTATGTAGTAATATTTCATTATCACCTGTTACGGTGTTTATGTCTCCCAACTTCTTCGCTTCTTTGGCTTCCCCTGAGTACGATCAATTTTAAAGCAAGAAATGCTACTCACTGATAGGTTGATGTAAAGGGATTTCAACAACCTCGTTTAAAGACGGTTATTTCGTAAATTTTTTGGTCGTTTTTTGACTGACTTGTTTCATGGCAATTGTTAGACCTTTGTTTTTATACTGAATTGACTACGGAAAGAACCGTCTACCTGATCAATACGTAGGGCTCACGGCGGGTGTGACCGGTCAATAAGGGATGTTTACTCCACCTAGACATCTGATCCCACTTCTGGAATTTCCAGGGGTCCGTGTTTTATGCCCTCTTCATATATATGTATTGTTTATAGAAATTTGAGATCAATCAATGATCGTTATCTTCACCTTTAACATCTGAAGCCCTTCACCGACATTCAGTGCCGTATTTGAATGAAAAATTCTCGAATGAGACGTTATAAAAAACATACACACAGTCAATCAATTAATTAATTGCTCTGAATGGCGAGAAAGGGTCTAAACCTGAAGCCATTCACCGATATATGGTAACCTCTCTATAGGAGTGAAAAAGGCTTCTCAAACGGGACGTAACACAACAATCAACCAATCTGTACCCGTCCCTCATACACATAAAAAAGCCGACTATAACGGTTTATTTTGTCGTTTAACTTCGTTACAATTAGTATCCTCTTGCATCAAAGGCCAGGAAGAATTTGGGAGGAACTTTATTGCTGAGAATAATATCGAATTGTGCGATATATATCTCGCTATACATGTAGATCTATTTATTGTTTTGCTTGTAAAGGGAGTGTTTATTTAACCATGTTCTCTACTGATAAATTATACATGCATGTATTTTGCTGGCCTCCTTAATCTATATTTTTTATTAATGAGTCTAAATAGAGCGCAATTAAGAGTAATTTTTGTTTTCATGCTTTACATACAGGTAACTACGAGTTAGTACATCTAAGAAGAAAAACAGATATCAATAATAATGAAAACTATGACTAATATTTGAATTGTAGATCTTTATATTTTCCTTATATATTATTTTGCCTTTTCCTCATATGTTTATTTTATTGTTGCAGCTGGACAGAGGAAATTAAATGCTAAGCTGAAGGATAAAAACAGTCCCATTCCTCCCAATATTCAAGGTAATTCCATCACAAGTAATTGTAAAACATCCGTTATACCAAGGCTGCATCCTCATGGCGACACCGCAGCGTCGATTAAAAAGCAAAACGCTGAATAACGCGCAGTATTTGGTGGGATCTATAAGTTTCGCAATTAGGTCCCCTAGAAGGTCACACGGTGAGCACTTTCAACTTCAATAAAGAATGCGATGTAGCTCTCCGTTATGATGTACACATAGTAGAAACGTCAGTAGGAAAGCTCGAAAGCTTGCTTTTCCGCTTGTCGTCAAGGCCCGAGAATGGGCGATTTGGTTGGCACATGATCGCGGTATGAACATTGTAGTAAAGTCGACTACGCTTGCACATAGAGCTCTTTCATTCCCTTGAAAGGTCAATGTGTCGAAAGAACGTCTTGCACACGCAGTCATATATTGTGTATGCCGTAATCACGAACCGTCAACTCCTAGCACGTCTTAAGCAATCAACAGAAGCGCGACCAATCGTCAGTAGGAATTCCTAGGTAACTTCGAAAACAGGTATTAGAATTAAAGGAATCATCGTCATGAAATCAGAAAGGCAGCATCATGAAATATTTTGAACATTTCCTTAGATTTAAATTAATTCAAAATACTTTTTTTTCTATGAGTATGTATATACAAATGATAACCATATGAAAATGCTTTTCTTACCAAATTTATATTCAAGAACAAATTTGAACAGGGCATTGTTGTTATAAAAAGAAGTTTGATCACATTATGTTGCCTTTAAAAAACATTTGCATTTGGGAAAAGACGAAAAATATAATTTCATGTGGACATTTTGCAGCCAGTTTTTGTGTATGGGATTGAGGTTGGAGAAGTTATTCAGAATTAAAGGTTAACTATACATTTAAAAGACCAGAATGTTCTTTTCCTTTAGAAATTGCGAGATACACAATATATTTACTTCCATAAATTACATTTTTAAAAATATACATGTTTTTCACATGTTATATTACATAGTTGTTTATCATTTAATATCGACAAAACGACATGTCCCTTTTTTTAGAACATTTAATTTTACTTCTCGGATTAAACCGTACGTTACATATTTTTGGTTTTATATCCATTAATGCAAAATATATTTTTGATGAAAGGTGATACATGTGCCTGATTCTTATTTATATTTTAATGCAGCCACCAGTTACTTGAGGAAATGATAAAGTCTAAAATGGTATCGTCTTTGTTCGATTTTCATCCGTTTCGAAGCTTTCCGTAAATTTTCTCCACTATAGTCTCGATCATTCAGACACATGCCTTTGTAACACAGATCGAATCGGTTTGATGATCAAGACTATTTCCAAGAATTTGGCGGCAAATCGAGTTGGAGAGGTCTCGAGCTCGAGATTGATCTTGCTCCTGACAAGTAATTATCCCAACTAATAATTATTAAATCTTGCATAAATATTTGGTCGGTAAATTTCCACACTTAACTCATGTGTGATTTTGAGGTCTAAAGGTCAACGTTATGTCTATACATGTATAAAGCAGTAATAGTTATTTCTTAATTATATATACAGGACTATGAAATCAATTGAATTCAATCTGGAAGATCAATATGCTTTATTAACGGGTGTTGACGGATTAAACTCTAGGACTATAAATTAAAAAAAATTACTTAAGTTTTATTTTCACAAAAAAAAAAAAAATGATGGCGTTGGTACATGTACCTTGTCTCAAGACTACATTTAAGAATATAGAATTACAGGCACGTCTAAATGAAACAAAACTATAATAATTTACTTCATTTATTTCCCGGGCGACAATTGTTTGCAACATCAATGTTTTCTTGCTTTGGAATGGGATGAGAGTTAAAAATCAGGTGGGCTAAATTTTTGGAAGAAAAATAACTCTGCATTCGCAGATAAATTAACTAATTTTTTTTACAGAGTTAATTAAAGTTGCAAAAAATCATGCAAGTACCTAATCAATTTTGTAAACGATTTTTTTCCTTATTAACAGGATTATAACTATGATCAGGAACTTCCCTAGCAATCTTTAAATCTAAAAATATAGTTTGAATTTATGTTTCCCGCTAAATTCCAAACGAATTACATGTATGAGCCGTGTGCAAAATCCACCGATACATTCTATAATATGAGCTAGCGTCATCATAGGTAGATGGAGGCAGTGATTTCATGTTGTGTTATGGCTAAGTGATGTGTCAACCACCTTTTTTAATATCATCATAATGGTGAAATTCAAAATACTTCTAAATTGAAATCAGTGAAATTTGAGATTTGTTGTAAACGATTGCTAAAATCCACAATGCTATAAATAGAATTAATATTAATGTTTTTGTTGCTTTCCGAAACACCAACGAACGAGCAAACTTCGCCCTTAAAAGAAGTGTATTTCCGAATAAAATTCTTGAGCATGTAAAGAAAAAAATGTGTATTCATTATTTAACAGAATAAATGTCTGCATTTCAACGTAAATGCATCAAAAAATGTTCGTAAGTACTAAACATGTTTAAAGATTTTTTAAAGTTAGTGCAAAGTAAAAAAAAAAAAGTAGTGCAGGGGGTAACGTGTGAGTTATTTAAATCATATGTAATGAACTGTGATCGACGTCGGCCTTAGTCATTATCAGGCCATTTTCATCTTTTGAAAACATTAGAGCATTTTCTTGATATTCCACGGCGATCCCCGATATTAAACACCTTATCAGCTCTAGTGGAACACAGTCCTGGTTTGGCATTACATTGATATAAGTAACTGGTTCATATCTGATCAATTTGTCCGCAAATAATTTTTGAAAACTCTAGTTTTTTACACGTACCTGCAACAAAGGGATAAATTTTATCTCCTAAAAAGAAAAGGTCATATTTCAGAGATGTTTACCCGATTTTGCAGTTTTCAGTGAACTGTTAATTAGTAGTTTATTGTGAGTTATACAAACTCTAAAAATTTACTAAGACATGGCACTAAGTAAATTGTGAACAGTTTTAACTAGGGAAGTTGTCTTGAAGTGTTTGAGACGAAAACGGGTACTGGCCTACACTCTTATCGCTGCATTAAAAGGAACCCCTTTTCATCACAAATCATGGAATGATATGCTGCTGGCTGACTTTCTAAGGTTTTTAAATAGCTAACCTTCTAACGTACATTTTTTGTGGTATTGAAAGAAAAGGTGAAAACAGATTGAATCAAGAAAGGATGTCCCATTTAATAGGTGGAGGGAGTTTGTTTATAATTGGACTAGTCCACATATGGGATAAACTTATGGCGTAAAACTACCTTAAACAAAGGTCGGAATTCCTACATCTTGTAAATTACCATTTAGTCTTAAGCCTCCTTTACTCACTAGGCTTCATAAAGTGAGAAGTCTTCGCCTCACTTTAAACAAAAAATCTAGGAGATGGACTGCTTTGCAATTCATATATTTTGTAAAAGTTTACACACTATAATAGTATACACATTGTTACTTTCTAAAAAAAATCTAGGAGACGGACTGCTTTGCAGTGCATATATTCTGTTTTAGTCTACGCACTATAATCGTATAAACATTGTTACTTCTAATCATCTCAATGTTGCAAGAAAATAAGATAAACTTTTTGTGTAGGTTTGTGTGTGTGGCAAGATATCCTGTAAGGTTTTTTTTCGTTCTTTGAGATGTGACATATTGTTTTTTTCAGCAATGCATGCAGCTAAACTTGAGGAATGGAGAAAAGACGACATCCATTATTACGAACCATCATTTTTTAAATCATTAATGCAAAAATTGGAAAAAAAATATTTGCATCTTAGTAGTTGGTGGGCCTGGCAGCGGAAAATCGGCTACTATCAAACATATTGCTTTGCAATTCAAAAATTGTGAATATGAAGTGGTTCCCATCGCAAAAATCAAAGAAATAATAACCTATGGAGATATAAGGAAAAAACAAATTTTTACGTTGGACAACGCTTTTGGGGATATTGGTTTCAAAGAAAGTCTTCATGACAAATTTAAGCAATACTTTGAAAATATATGCACAATGTTGAGTAATGACTCCAAACTTCTAATGACAAGCAGAACAGTTGTGGAGAGGGAGGCTGAGAGGTTTGGGTTACATAGTGCAATCTTGGAAAATGTCTTCAATCTGGATGATGAGAAAAACCACTTGACAAGCAACGATAGAATGGAAATTTTATCATGTCATTTGAAAGAATCTTCTTCGTTCTCGAAACTCAAAGAATACGTTGAGGGGACTGACAAAATAATTATGTTTCCCTTGCTCTGCAAATTGATTTCATCAAATTCTGCTTATGAAAGAGAAAGTTACCAATTCTTTAAGGAACCATGTCAGCTTATTTTGAAATATTTACAAGAACTAGAGAAGACAAAAAGAATACACTATGCTTCCTTGGTGATATGCATGCTTAACAAGGGCAAGATTTCAAAAGAGGACATTGAAGAAAAGCCATGGATTAAATCAGTTTTGCACAAGTGTTGCAGAGTACCAACAAGCACAGAAATTTGGGAATTTCCAGATGCTTTATCGGATATGATAGGAACGTATGTGACGAAAACTCCTGATGGATTCGTTTTTGTACACGACATATACTTTGAAGTTATTGTCTATTATTTTGGGACACAATATCCCGAGGAAATAATCGAACGACTGGCAAGCGAACTGATATCAGACAAGCTTGTCTTACAGGAAAATGAGAAAATCAGTGATTTGCAAATTCACATAAAACAAAACATGTTTCCGCGTCTTGCACGAAGACTGATAAAGGAGTTAAAAGACCTTAAGCTGTATGTTGTATTTGATTCCAAATTCCTGCATAATACAGAATTACAAAATTATTTTCTTGAATATCTGAAGCAAGATTTTTCCTACAAGGACATCAAAGAAATCTTTCTGAAACCTACAGATAAATTCAACAGTAGCCTTTTACTTCAGGTTCCGGGAGATATGAAGTGTATAAATGAACTAACAAATATTGATTTCCTTGCTCGTGCACTTATAGAAAATGCCCAAACAATGACAATTGATGATTCATCTGAAGATGAAGATGAATATAAATCAGAGATGCTAATTAAACCCAAAGTAAAACAAGTAATTCCTTTGAGCTGGGCTGTGGCATACGGACACAGCTTCCTTCTGCAATACTTAGTTGGAACTATGAAAGCTCATGATTCAACTAATATTCTAGGATTTGACAATGAAGAACAGTCACGGTATTTAGTTTTAGCATGTTACTCAAAATGTGCTGATACCGTTAATTTTGTGCTTAGGCATGTAAGCGATGATTGTGTCAACTTGCCACCAATAAAAAGAGAAAGTGAAAGACAGGATGTTCCAATCCATTATAATTTCACACCACTGAAGATGGCTATACTACGTGGAAGTTCTAAAATAGTGCAAATATTGATCAAAGCAAATGTTGACATCAATGCCATGGATTTTGCAGGAATAACTCCCATTTGGACAGCAATAAATGCATCTCAACACTCCATTTTTAACGAACTCATAAGTAGAAAAGCCGATGTTAATACCTTTGGAAAAGGAATTTTATCACCTCTCATACTTGCAGCACGCTTAAACAAAAGTGAAGTTTTAGACACTTTGCTTAAGAATGGTGCAGATTGTAATTATCGAAGTACTTCTCGTGAAACAGCTTTATACTGGGCTTCTCGTGTTGGCAATTTTAAATCTGTAAAACAATTAATAGAATATAAAGCTGATGTATCTTTGTATGTTGATGGGGACAAATCACCGTTCTGTATTGCAGCGAAAAATGGAAGTCGAGCAATACTCGAGCTTCTGTTTTCAAATGGAGCAAAATGCAATCTCCTTGATGAAAATGGATGCCCTCCAATTTACTTAGCTTCTTATGCAGGACATGCAGAAATCGTTAAGTTTTTATTAGAAAAACGTGCAGATATAAACATCAACATGTATAATCCATTGCTTGCAGCTATAACAAATCGGTATGCTGACATTGCGATTATGCTAATACAAGCTGGAGCAAATCGCAATGAACATAATACATCACGGGGCTTTACTACACCCTTACATGAAGCTGTAAAAGAAAATATGGCAGATATCATTCAGGTTCTGCATGGACATAACCTCAATTATAGAGCTCAAAACGATGAATATATAACTCCTTTAGAAGCTGCAATATGGATGGGACGAAAAGAAATAGTACATCTTTTAATAAAAGGAGAGAATTCTATTAAGAATGGAAGTGGAAATGAACATTTGTTTGAAGCTATGACAAAACTACGGTCCTCTAATCTCAGACTCAATCATAAAGATGAGATTGAGGCAGAGGATAAAGACGAAATCTTAATTGTATCAACGTCTTCACTTTTTTATGATGTTCTTGCATACGATACGTATTCATCTCTTGATAGTTTATTGTCTCTTGGTTTACGTGGAGACCGATTTCTTATAAAACCTAGACTAAGAGAGGACTATTGGTATATTTCCTTACTAGGAAGACAGGAGCTTAGTAAGTATGGAAACTATCTGACACATTATATTATCGAAAATAGAGATTCCAGTTGTATCAAATCTATAGTTGACCATAATTTCCAGACAAAACCGAAAACAGAATATCAGAGGAAACCTTTCGTGAAATCCCAGACAAAATTTAATTCCGATTGGGACTTTTGGGACTTTCTTGACCAGTTTGACGAGATAACCCAGATTGCTCATACCGATTGCTACATGAACCACATAATGGACAATACTCAATCAATGTTACACTTTATTCTAAGAAGCATTCATAGCACCGAGACGTTAATTCGTTATTCTTTAGTTGAGGACGAGTCTGACTATAGAATGGACATTGAAAACCTGAAAAGTACACTGAGGTTGTATATTAAACCAAGAATGAGGAGGCATTCGTTTCCCTAGTCTCTTCGAAAACTGATTGGTTCAAGTTTCGGAGGTATACAAAGAAACATTTACTCTGACACCTATATTTTTTTAATGAATGGTAGAAGTTTGTCGCACGTGTACGTACTGCCTTTTTATTTTGATTTCAAACATTTACAGGCGATTGCTTATCGGTCGCAGGAGCGGGCGATCCATTTGTGGTGTTTGAAAGTGCATACGGGGAAGTGATGAATAATTGTTTTTAAAAGCTTGCTTTTAATTAAACCTTAATTATTGTTCTTATGTGTCAATTTTATTTTCATTCCTCATCAGATGATTACTAATTTATGCTTTATTTAAAGAATTTACAATAGACATTCCTAATTATTTGAGTTTGTAAAATATGAACGGAAATCGTTATAGTTTTCCGGATAATTATTACATTACATTTGAAAAGTGATGAATAAAAATTAAATCGTTGGTAGAACTACCGGAAATGTTTTCGTCGAATATCCAACAGCTGCGAATGAAATAACAGTATTTTTTTTCTACGCTTTACATTTATAATTGGCAGATCGCAGATTTTGAATTTCCAGTAGCATTAGCTAATCAGAACGATGTTCGCAATTGTTTAGGCAATAGCGGAAAAGTCGACATTTTATCGGAAAATATATGAGCGCTCAATAATGATCAAACGTTATTATTGGGACACTTGCAACACTTTTACAAGATACTCTGATTGTTCCCATGTAGGAAAAGTGTTCTTTCTTTTCCGAAAATTCGGAAGAACTTTGAAAAGCAAAGTGATATTAACAGATGTGTACATGGTTGTCCCTAGTAATCCACAGTTGTAAACAAAGATATTGCTAAACAAATGAGTTGAAACAAGTTTATGCTCGAAGGTAAATTTATTAATCATTCAACTTTTCAGTCATCGCACGGTTAAATTTTTTATGCACTCGTTGAAGATCGATACATGTAAGTTATAATAAATGTATAACAGCTATGAATAAGTACATGCCTCGTCAGGCCTATAGATCTTAATACCTGACTGTGCATGTTTGTCATCTGATAGAAAGCGAAGAATAGGCTATAATTCAATATAAACAAGCATTCTGAGAGTATTGCATTAGCAATACTAGTCCCCTACCGGCAAGTGCAATCTGAGTCCCGTTAAAAATTGAAAATGCCATAATTTCGTCAAAAATTAATGAAGCGGGACGAAATGCAAACTTGATCTATAACTAATCAAGGTAAAGCCAGATACCAAAAATCAGCTCAATATCTACAAGCGTTTAGAAGAAAATTGCGGAAAACCCGTAAAAATTGAAAAGGCCGTAATTCCGTCAAAAATCAATGAAGTGGAACGAAATGCAAACTTGATCTGTAACTCATCAAAATACAATCACATACCAAAAACCAGCTCAATATCTGCAAGCGTTTAGGAACAAAGTGCGGAAAACCAAGTGGGACAGACTGACAGAGGGACAGACAGACAGGCAGACGGACGGACAGACTCAGAGGAAACCTATAGTCCCCTCCAGTTTCACCGGTAGGGGACTAATAAATGAAAAATTCTTATGAGCAATTCCACCTAACCTGCCTTGCTTTCACATCCAGTTTAATTTGGATATAATATAAATATTAATTCTGTCAAGAGCCTAACATATATACATGTACAGTGTAACAATTTACTTGGGAGTCAATTGCCCTTGTGTTATCTAATTTGGAATATTGATATTTATATTCTACAAAAATATATAATTATACATGTACAAGGGATGTTCGTAAAATTCGCGGACTACTATCATAACTTTTTTTTAGTAAACGTCATATCGTATCCAAATTTGGTAGCAATGTTTCAACAATAAGTTCAAAAGACATGTTTTAAGAATTTTAAAATATCGTGATGCATTTCAAACTTATATACATTGTAGATTTTAAAATGGCGATAATCGGGGCGCTAGGCAGGTCAAAATTGCGTTATTTACTCTAAATCACAGGCCTTTGGATCGCTTAAATCCGACTTTTAAAAAAGTTGGGATGTATAAAAAAGATAAAGGTGTGGAACTCCTTACAAAGGGTAACCACTTTCGATAATAAAAATACTTTTTAAATCGAATGCTCTACAATTTTACTTTCTATTCAGATCTATTCATATATAATTATTACTACCAAAGTTCATTCCCAAATTCCATGTACTTCCCAAGATATGGTGAAATCAATTCCAAAATTGACCTACTTTTTTGTACTCGACATGAGCTTGGGCCCTGGTTATTCACATGTATACAGACGGTGTTTGAACTGCATTGAACAGCTGCACAGTATTTGCACAATCTTACAACATTTTAAAAATGATTTTTACTCCAGATCGTAAGGTTAAGTTAGTAATAATTCCTTTCGCGAAAAAAATGTAGAAAACGTTTGCTTCGACAACTTCACAGCTGTTTATTAATGTAAAAAGAACTATGATTGAACGAAATATTCCTGGAATGTATAATATACCTTTTGATTTTTTAAAAATTATACCGCTAAAATGTTGGTGGTAACTAAGTAAGACCATATGATCAAATCAGATAAAATTCTGTAGAGACTGAGTGTGAATCAACGAATATTCAGAGGGTATAGAATAAATTCCGGGAAGAATAGACCCTTTTCCTATGACACATTTTGCTTAGGAGTTATTCCCCTTAGCCGCCATCTTGTATGGCAAAGCAGTGAATTTACCTCTTTAAGCAACCAATTTTAAACATGCATTCAAGAAAAATATGGGGGAAAATATTTACAATCTTATTATCATGAATTAATAGAGGATATAACAAATGTGTATTCATATGAAAAATAGTGTTATCTTTACCTCAGTAACCAGTATAAGAAATTGAACTTGGTTGAATAATGAAGGGATCTGGGAATGTTGCCCTACAATATGGCGGCTAAGGGAAATAACTCCTAGGCAAAATATGTCATAGGAAAAGGGTCTATTCGTCCCGTCGTTCCCGCTTTACAATTAGTGTAACTATTCAGAGGTCCAAACTAATGTCGATTAAAAAAATAAGGTCAATTTTGGAATACATATGATTTCAGCATATCTTGGGAAATATACGGAATTTCGGAAAGAACTTTGGTAGTAATGTAGATTGTTTATATGTGAATAGTTATGAATAAAAAGTACTTAAAGTGTTAGATCATTTGATTTAAAAGTATTTTATTGGCAAAAATGGGTACCCTATGTAAGAAGTTCCATACCTTTATTTTTTTAACATCCTATTCTAAAGGCCTGTGCTATAAATACACTAAATAATGCCTGTAGTCATATCCTCTGCAAAATATCGCAAAAACGGAAAAATTCTAGACGTTCAATTTAAGAATTGTAATATTATGAAATATATGGAGATAACGAAACAGTATTCAAGCTCAAAAGACCATTAAATATTACAAAAAAGGTGCAGAGCAAAACCTAAGAGGTGGGATCAGGTGCCATGGAGGAGTGAGCATTTCATATTCTAAATTATGAATTAATATTTCGCTACCTTGAAATGAATTCAATTGGAGAATATATGCAGTGCTCAGTCGCCCGCGTGGCGCAGTGGTTAGAGCGTCTGCTCTAGAGTCGCGAAGTAAGGCGTTGATCCTTACGTCGCGGGTTCGAATCCCACTGTGGGACTTGGAGACCGGTCCTTCGGATGAGACCGTGTAAACCGAGATCCCGTGTCGCAGTAGGTGCTGGCACGAAAAAGATCCCTCACTGCTCAATGGCCGTAAGTACCGAGTATAGGACAAAATTTGCAGCTCTCCACCGGCAAGTGGTGGCGTCTCCATATGAGTGAAAAATTCTCGAGAGGGACGTTAAATAAAATACAATCATATGCAGTGCTCATTGAAAAGGGCAAAAAAGATGAAGTCGTAGAATGTCACGGAACACCAGATTACGAAACAATTATTAGGTCACCAGAGTCACTCAGGTGACCTATTGCTATCCGTTTTTGTCTATCGTCGTGCATAAACATTTGAAGATTTTTTGCTTCTTCTCTGAAACCGCTTAACCAATTTCAACCAAATTTGGCATGTAGCATCAATGGGTGAAGGGGAACAAAAATTTTGAATTTCATGGTCCCTGCCCCCCAGGGGTGGGGCTTAAACCACCAAAATTATTTCAATCTTCTCCTTTACTCTTGGACATCAAGCAGTCAAACTGTTGGCATGATTGTAATAAGCATTGAACCCTCTACCAAAATTGTGAAATTCATGGCCCCAGAGTCAGGGGTTCTGGTGCTAGGATGGGGCTATATAGATCATATAGTGAAAGTGCATTATTTCTTTGAACATCTTCTCTGCTCCTGGGTATTAAATAAACTAACTAAGTACATAGTTATAATGAGCAAGAGTGCCTCTTTCAAAATTATGAATTTCATAGCCCTATGGTGAAAGTGCATTATTTCTTTGAACATCTTCTCTGCTCCTGGGTATTAAATAAACTAAGTAAGTACATAGTTATAATGAGCAAGAGTGCCTCTTTCAAAATTGTGAATTTCATAGCCCTATGGTCAGGGGTTCTGGTATTAGTGCGGGGCTCTATTGATTATATAGTTAAAAAATCATAAATTCTTTGAAAATCTTCTCTGCTCCTGGGTATAAAATAAAGTACCTAAGTACATATTTATGATGAGCAAGAGTACCTCTTCCAAAATTGTGAATTTCATGGTCCCTGGGTCAGGGGTTCTTGTGTTAGGGCGGGGCTGTATTGATTAAATAGTGAAAATGCATTAATTCTTTGGAAATCTCTTTCTCTGCTCCTGGGTATTAAATAAACTAGCTAAGTACATAGTTATGATGAGCAAGAGTGCCTCTTCCAAAATTGTGAATTTCATGGCCCCTGGGTCAGGGGTTTTGGTGTTAAGCCGGGGCTCTATTGATTATACAGTGAAAATTCATTAATTATTTGAAAATCTTTTCTGCTCCTGGGTATTAAATAAACTAAGAACATGGTTATGGTGAACATGACTGCTTTTTCAGAAATTGTGAATTGCATGGCCCCTGGATCAGGAGTTCAGGTGTTAGGGCGGGGCTCTATTGATTTTATAGTAAAATTGCATTCTTCTCTGCTCCTGGCTATTAAATAAACTAACTTGGTACATAGTTATGATGAGCAAGAGTGCCTCTTTCAAAATTGTGAATTTCTTGGCCCCTGGGTCAGGAGTTTTGGTGTTAGGGCAGGGCTCTATTGATAAATATATTGT